GCTTAGCTTATCATGGCTCGTAAACACATGGAGTACCCACATAGAGGAAGTACCCACAGAATCGCTGCAATCTCAGCTGTAGCCTCGAGTTAGGGTTTCTCGGCACTTGACTTTGTTTTCGTCAATAAATTTGGGGCAAGTATTTCTTTTTTTTTTTTGTATTTTTTTTTTTTTTTTTTTTTTTCTTGCCCAGCTCTTTTGCGCCCAGGCTTCTCAGCTGCTATTTGGCAGCTCGGTACAAACCACATGCTGGGCGCCTGTTGGTATGCCACAGTTTACAGTTTTCTCCCAATTTTTTTCTTCCCTGCACTTTTTTTCTTGCGGCGCCCGAAAGTAGGCGAGCGTTTCGCAAATTTGCGTTTAAATGGCGTGTTAACATTTAAATGTTATTTTTACGCTCCATAAAATGGCTCCATAAAAACAAGGCAAAAGTATTAAAAAAAATAAATAAAAGTTTCTCAACTGCTTTGATATTTACAAGTAGTATTATACATAGTAAAAGCCAAACGGTTAACCGATTCGCAGCGCTTTTACTAAGTTTGAAAAACTCAATTGTAAGCTATAAAATTAGGTTACCCCAAAACACTTGCGAAAAACATATTGGCAAATATAAATATAAAGCCCGAGTGAACTGTAAATAACCCTAACTATACCGTCCAACTGCAGTTGAATGTAAATTTTATGCTTTTTGCTTGGAATTTCAAGTTTTTAACACTAACGAATTAAAATTCCAGGATTAATAGTTATATATTCGTTTATGTATTTATAAAGCTGGTGTAAGACTTAGTTCATACCAAAATTAAGGCCTTTGATGAAATAATGGAATAATGGTAATCGAAACTGCGTATCAACTAAATCGATACATAACTGATACAATTTATGCTCACGAGTATTTGTAAATAGAAAATAGAAATAGAAAAATATATATAGAATAGAAAATTAATCCAAATAAAAATAAATAATAAATTTTTAATAATAATAATTAATAATTAATAATTTTTTAATATATAAATTATCTTTTTTATATTTTTGAAATACATATATTATTGAAATAGTTGTCTTTGTTTAGAATTATTATAATTTATTTCTAAGCAAAAAGATCTATGATTAATTAAATAAAACTGGTTCTTTGAGTATAAAATTTATGACCAATATTAAATAAATAAATTTATTTTAAATTTGATTATTAATTATCTTTGATCTCTAATTGAACTCTAATAAAAATAAAAAATAAGAATAAATAAGTCAGTTAAAAAAAAATAATAATAATAGATACAAAAATTAAATATATATTAAAAAAAGCGATTAAAAATTAATCAAAAAAAGAATAAATAAAAAAATAAATTTAAAAAAATAATAAAAAATAAAATAAAATGCCTTTAATGAAAGCGTTTAATAATTTAAATTAAAATATGCAACTCCACATGGTTAAAAAAAATAACCTGAACACTTTGTAACACGATAATGTACTCGAGTAAATATTTCCACTTTCGCGCCTACTGCTGGGAAAATAATTCGCATTTATGCAGACAGACAGACGGTCAACGAAACCAAAATACTCCGTTTGACAGCCAGAAGGACCATAAAAATACCACACATACCATAAGAAAATATATTCTATTTACAGAAATATTTACATATGTCAAGGATATTAGCTTATTTCTTTATAACACACAAAAGTAAATCAAAATTTGAAATTTCGATCATGAACACGTCGTGGTAAATCATGTTTAGTTCGTGTCCAAAAAGAAGCAACACGATTAACATCAGCTCAAATATCTGTGCCTAACCGTATCCATATCCATACCCATATCCCTTCCGCTCCCTCCACCCTATCTGTATCCGGAAAGTATACTTCTTGCACGGCCGTTTGGGTGTATTTGCATTTGCACAAAAGTATGCTTTGTTTTATTGCTTATGCAAATTGGCCGACTAATTTTGTAGGGACTCCGAGAACAAATCCTTTTGCTTCAGTCGCTTAGTGAACCTTTTCCATTGCTAGGCGGCTTTATCTAGTTCGCTTTTCCTTTTGATTTCATACAGACACAAACAGCAGCAAAGTTGTTCTTTCTCTATTTATTGCTCATCTCCTCTTTTCTTTTCGTTTTTTTCTTTTTCACTCTTTTCAAAACATAAACTTTTTTTTCGCCTAATGCGCTTGAATAAGCTGTTGTTTTTTTCTGGCTTTCTTTCTTTATTGTTTCAACATTTTTGTTTTGTTTTCGGAGATTTCTGCACTAAGCAGCATTTGGCAGGTTATTTTGTTTTTGATATGCTCTTAGCCAAAATGCCTTAAGCCAAACTTTGTCGGCACGCATTCACCGCAAGCTGATGTCTTCAGCTGCCTCGGGTGCTCAAATCGTCATGAGACTGTATTATGTGTTTACTTAAAAAGAAAGCAAGGTAATTTTGAAGTAAATGCTCTATATACATTTATGAGCAGATAGATTTTGGAGTAGATTTTATAGATAGTTTAATTTTGTTCAATTACAAATTTGATTTCCTCTGTGTTCATTAACAGTTCCTTAGACAGCTCGACTAGAATAATTCTATGAAGGCATCATTCTATAAATGTGAATTGATTTTGTAGCCACACACACCTATTTAAAAATACCTGCATTTTAAAGCACAAAAAAAAGTATGGTGCACGGCGAGTGTCCTATCCCATCCAACATAGTTTTAGTATGTAGCATGGTGCAGAGGTCATGCCTCGTTGCCGCCGAAAGGACTCGACTTGACGCCAAGGTCCTTTATCAAAGCGAAAGTTGGTGCACAGTTGTAGCAGGGCCAGCACACACACACACAGACACCTACACATATACACACCCGCACATTTGTAGATACTCTGGCACTCACTCGCTTGCAGGTCAATTATCGTGCTTTGCATCCCACGCGCAGCTTACCTATCCAACTGCAATTGCAGCTGTCCTGCCGTTGTTGTTGTTGTTGTTGCGGTTTTGTTGCCGCTGGCGTCTGTGGGTATCTGGTGAAAACCGAAAGCCAAACAAATTTGTAGCTTGAAGTTGGGCCATTGAGTCGCTAGCGTCGTTGCTCTGCTGCTCTGTTGCTCTGTTGCTCTGTTGCTCTATTGTTGTTGTTTTTCCCTCACTGTCTGTGCGTCTATTTCGCGGTTTTCGTATGACCGGCGGTTAGCTATTGCAATGAAAAACTTTAGCTCTGTCGCTAATTAGGCATTACATATACACCATGGGTTAAGCATCTTGAAGTGCACTAAATTGCGCTAATCATAAAACATGCAGAGCATTCTCACCCACCATCACCCCAGAGATGCTCTGCCCATGCTCCAAAACCACTTCAACTTAGTTGTGTGGCCTTTGTATGCAACGGTTTGTTTCAAGTGTTGCTGCTATGTAAATTATGCCACCAACTGCAACAGCAACAGCAACAGCAACAGCAACAGCAACGGCAACAACTTCAACTACTACAACAATTGCCCAAGAATTGTGGCAATGTGCACTCAGCGTCATTTAGTGCCACGCCCACACACACACACTTAAGTGACGCCCACATTGTGCGCATTGACGACGCGTGCAACGAAGTGAATGCATAAGTGCAAAAGAAAAAGAAAAGAGGAAAGAGCACGAGCTTGGCAGTGAATTGAAGTGGGTGTGATTAGAGTGCGTGAGTGTGTGTGCTACCCCATACACACACACACATAAACAGAAAGAGACACACACATATGCATAAATATATGCTATGGCAACATTTCTAGACTTTCGCTTAAGTGGTTCACTATGTTGGCTTAAAATAGCAACAATAGTTGTCTATAAATTGCTTTGTTTACTAGAAATGAACAAGCATGGAGCACAATGAATGCAATGTCTGAGCAGTTAAGAGAATAAGAGTGAGTGAGTGAAAAAATCAGTTTGCAATAAAACATAAGACTGTTGAGAAAATAAGCTAATCTTAACAGGATAATATTTGTTCTTTGCTGCACTTCAAGTGAAATGCCAACATTGAGAACCATCAAGATTCCATATAATTTTCCGTAAAATTTAAAAACTAACAAACTGTTATACATAAACGGCTTTACCAACTGAAGGCGTTGCTTAAGATGAGAAGCTATCATTCACAAACTAGTTCGATATTTGATAACGTTATTCGATTGACTTAAGCAACTCAACTGCAACAAGCTAAAGAGAAACTTTACTTTTTTGAATGCAATTCCAAATTAAAGATATACATTTTGTATTTTTATTGATTTACTGGACTTATGCATAACTTCAGAGATTAATAGGAACAGACAGATGGATATGGCTAAGATCTAACACGCCTCCTTCTACCAGCCATATACATTTCATAAAAAATTGATCAACCAAGTTTTACCGTATCGCCTATTCGGACACCTCTGCTAAAGATTTCATTTCTAAACCAATATGAGGAATGGGAATGTCGTGTTCTAAAGTTATTTTGTTAATCTTTCACAAGTAACATGTATAAAATATATACGAATAAAAAATGTAAAACTAAATAAATAAACAAAACAAAAAATAAATAAAGCTATATATATTTATGTGAGCCTCATGTTAATTCGTTCCATTTTTAAATTCTCTTCAGTTAATTGGATTGCGAAATAACGTAACAAATACAATTATATAAAATCATATAAACAAATTCCTCAGTGCTCGATGTTTAGTTTACATAGAGAATGTTGGAGAATGGATTATTTTTATTTTGCTTCACGGAACACTGTGCATGGGATAAGCACGGATCAAGGAAAAAAATTGGAAGTCTCTTTCTATTATATCTTCTGAGATCGACGCGTTCAAACATACGGACAGACGAACAGGGCTAAATCGACACAGCTAGTCGCCCGGATCAAGAATGTATATACTTCATAAAAATATATGAATATGTTAGCTACTGTATAAACTTCAAATTAATTCGTTCCTCATTTTAAATTCTCTTCAGTTAATTTGATTACGAAATAGCGTAACAAATGCAATTAAATAAATCCATATAAGTATATTCTTCGGTGATCGTTGCTTAGTCTACATAGAGAATGTCTACAAGTAACACTAATATGAGCTGCAACTGGATTATTCTTATTTTCCTTCATGGAATACTGGCTGTACAATCCAAAAAATTAATAGCTCGAGCTCATTTTGTGTGTAAACGAATGTTAAATTTTTGCGAACTCATAATATAATCTCATTTTGCAGAATTCAGAAGATGAGAACCAAATCAAACAGAAAATGACTGCGCTTACTGACACTCAATCTGGGCACTACGAAAATAACTTTGAGTATTTGTCTTCCCTCACTGAGTTAATTGTAAATAGGCTATCGCATAAGTCAATTTCAGAGAAGCTATCCGACATTGAGAAATTTCAAGCATATAACAATCGACGATTGGATCTGGAGGGACAGATAGAAAACCGTGTGAATCGTGTCAATTTTGAAATAGAATCACTTCCTCATGGACATACGTGCAAGGAGTTTTATATGCAACAAAAGTCGGCACTCGAAAGTGCATATACAAGGAATAACTTAGTTAAGCAACACATTCTAAATGAAAATAGTAACAATTGTCCATCTAAAAATGATTTCAACGGTTATAATGGCCACAACAACTACAACAATGAACAAAACAACAATAATAACCCCAGAAATGACATCATTGAAAATATAGATTCACACATTAATTCTGCACTCGGACACTACCAAAACAACAGAGAATATTCCGAGCGCTTGAACGCTTTATACATGGCAAAGCAATCTCATTGGCGGAGTTCACAGTTGATACACGCTGTTAATAAGTTTCATCATTTTAACACTCGACGATTGGATCTAGAGAAACAGATTGAAAGCCGTGAACGTCAGATTGATTTTGAAATGGAATCACTTCCTCATGGACATTCATGCAGAAAGTTTTATTTACATCAAAAGATGACACTCGAAAGAGCGTATGTAATGAACAACATATCTAAGCAAAACATTGTAGGTAAGACTAGAAAGAATTGTCCATTTAAATATGATTCCAACGAACATTTGTCGGGCTCGAATGGAGGGAACGGACAGTGGCCGAGGTGGCATGTGAGGCCCGATCGGTATAATTCCTTCGAATAAAATTTAATTAAAATGTTAAAAATAAACAAGTAAGAAAACTCTAGTCGAGAGTGCTCGACTAGATTCTACCCTGAACCAAACTAATAAAAATGCCCATTTAGAGTGGCAAGAATTTCAATTTCGATGTATTTATAAATAAAAATTAAATAGAAAACTCATTTAATTAAATATATAAATATTTTGAAACAATTAAAAAAAATTAACGTCAGTTGCTCCGCTCGGGATTCGAACCCGCGACTTCTCAATCGAGCGCCACGCGACTACTCACTACGCCACCTCACTTTTGAAAGCTTCGCTGGCAAAACTGCAATAGATTCACTGCTGCAGCGCCATCTAGCAAAACTTAACCAAACTAACAGCTGATGATATTCTAAGAATGTTCTAGAAGAAGTTTGAATATATGTGTGCAAATGCGTACGAAAACTGTTGTAGATGCTGCACGTGCGTTTGTTAATTAGCCAAACATTTTATTATTTTTTAACATCGATTGACTTTCAGCATAATCTACATATTCTATTGCATATTTGACAAATTTAAGAAAAAAAATTAAAAATCATTCAGAATTAGCTATAATGGCATCTGACTTGAACTTGAATGTTTTTATTCGATAAAAACATAACGGGATGATTTATCGAATTTTAAAAGCAAGCGTCTATTATCTCTTATATCTTCTGAAATCGACGCGTTCAAGCAGACGGACAGGGCACTATTCAAGAATATATATACTTTATTGGGTCTGCCACGCCTCCTTCTGCCTGTTACATATATTTAACAAAACCATTATACCCTGATTTCCCATTTTCAATGGGTTCAGGGTATAATAACGAATAATAATAATGATTTTGTTTGCAATTTATTTACATAAGGTACGTTATTATTTAATATATTATTCCAGCTGTCGTTATCCCGTTATGAAAGGATCCAAAGAAATAAATAAGCGATTGAGTAGATCTGTATTTGTTGCTACTCGATGCCATGAATATGTTCTTGTAAGATTAGTTAGCTCTTAAAAAGTTTCAAAAATATAAGAGACAGCGATTAGATCTAGAGGAACGTATGAAAGACCGTGTGAGTGATATCAAATTTGAAATCGAATCACTTCCAAATACTCAAAAATGCATGAGGTTTTTTTTTTGAAACAAAAGTTGACATTCGAAGGATCATATGCAAAGAAAAACTCAGTCAAGAACAACATTTTGAAAGAAAATAGTAAATCTAGCCCATTTATATCGAATCCGAGCCAGGATCAAAACGACGATAGCAACAACAACACTGACCCCAACAACAACCACGTCAAAGAGCCGAACAAGAGCTTGTTTTAGCACCCCTAGTGTGTGCTATGTCCATTTAAAATTTGTAGCTAATTGGAGTCAAACTTGACTGCCAGTAGTTCCCAGATTTCCTTATCAAATTTATAATTGATAGAATATTATTTAATATCTTTGTACGCATCACTCATATATTTCGTAAACACAAATAAATATTATCCTACTACTCACTTGCTAGCTTGGAGCTGTTCCAGCTCGTGGAGTAGCTGCTGCCAGCTGAAGCCCAAGCGGCCGTCGGCCAAGTGCAGACGACAGCGTTCGTGAATATGATTGAAAAGCTTTTGAAAGGGCGTATAGCGCTCCAGGCATTTGATGTCGCCCAATAAAATTAATTTGTGCTTGGCACGTGTAATGGCAACAGTTAATCGCCGTTGATCCTCGAGGATTTCAGACTCGCGTGAACGTTCCATGCCCTGGTCGGCAGCTGTGCTGCCCGTTTTCGTACAGCTATAGATAATTAGATCCTTGTCGCGTCCCTGATACTGATCAACCGTATTGAACTCCACGCCGGACAGATGCTCGCCCAGTTTGCGCAGCAACTCCACCTGAGCGCGATATGGTGCAATGACCCCGATGCGTGAGGCATCGTAGCCCGCCTGCAGCACTTGGCGCAACAAATGCAACACAATCGCCGCCTCACAATAGTTACTGTACTTGGGTACACGACGCGAGCGAGCTGATTGTAGTTGAATTGATTGCATTGTTTGCTCAACGGCTTCGCCGTAATGCTGTTCAATAGCGGCGCTGGTATTGCCCAGCTGTTTGGATGCGTCAACGTACTCCTGACAGCGTTGGGCACAATCGTCCGTGTCCAGCAGAAAGACCGCTTGCTCCAAATGCGTTTGCAACGTGCGCTGCACCCAGGGACAACATTCGGCCAGCGGCTGCAGCTGCAGTTTGGCATTCTCAACCTGTTCACTGGCGCACTGCAAAGCCTGGCCATAGGTCAAGTGGTTGGCCAGTCGTGTAATGCTGCGATTCATGCGATACTGCAGTGTTAGCACAGCTGTGGCCTCCTCACAATCCAAGCGCTGGAACAGGCTCTCGTCAGCGCCGCGTAGACGCGCCTCACGGCTACGCACGAGCGGCGGCAGCTGTTCCGGATCGCCCACAAGTAGAAAACGGCTGCTGTGGCTCAACGCACGCAAAACCGCCGGCTGCAGCACCTGAGTGGCCTCATCCACAATGCAATAGTCGAACTGACGATGCTGGAACAGGGCATGCCCGGCACCCAGACAGGTGACGCCCACAATGCTTGGCTTTTGCAGTGCTGACGTCAACTGTTCAACTGTCTCGCAGTTCGCCGTCAACTGGGCCTCGCTGATCTCCTGCAATTGCGGATGGATTCGTGCACTGCTGCCCAGACGCATCAGCGGCAGATTATAGGGCAGCAGACGCAACAGCAGATTATCGACAGCGGAATGCGTCTGGGCTGTAATTAGCACAGTGCGCTCCATTAGATGCAGCAGCCGCACAATGGCTACCAAAGTCTGGGTCTTTCCCGTACCGGGCAGCCCCTTGATCAGCAGATGTGTATCGGTGGTGAGCGCACGCAAGGCAGCCACCTGCTGCACCTTATTCAAGGCGCGCAGCATGGGCCCGCCCTTGCTGCCAATGATGCGAGGCAGCACCTTTTGCTGCTTTGGCCGTGTCCGGCCTATCACAATGGAGCGCAATTGCGCCGCACGTTCGCTGGGCGCCAAAAGTTGCGCCAGATTCGTAAAATTGAAACTGGCAAAGCTCTGCGACTCATGCTTGTCCACTATAAAACTTGCCAGCGCATAACGCTGGCCAAGATCACGCTCCAGCTGCAGGCACAGGCTACGCGGCTCCAGCGCTGTTATGTAGCCGGCGGCTATGGCCAGCCGTGTTGTACAGCTGATGATCACATATTCGCCCAGCTCGAACTGGAAGAGGATTATTATTTGAATTGTAAAGGAATCAAATTTAAGCAGCTAATCAGATATCAACTCACGCCGCTGAGCGTTAAATTTAGGTCACTCTCCGCCTCTTGGGATAGAATCAATTTCTGTTCATAGCGTCCATCCACTAGACGCGCCTGATGATCCTCAGGCAGTTGCAACTGCTGTATGGCGCGACCCAGCTGCTGCCTCTTGGCTGGTGTCTCCGTCCAGAGCGCACGCAGCTGATGCGATTGACGCGCATGTTGTTCCTCGAGTGCCAACAGGCCGCACCAATGGAACACATACTCGTAGTCTGCTTGATTCAGATGCTCCAGAACTTGTGGCATTAGGCGTCGCAGCGGATGCGATTCACTCAAATCCAGTTGAGGATCTGTGCTGGCAAAGCTGCAGCAGAGCGTGGCATAGGCACAATTGCCACAGGCACTATGATGCGAAATGGGCTCCGGCAGCTGCAAGGGCTGCAGCAGTTTGCCAGGCTGTTCGGCCAGGGAGAGTGGTTCGTTGGCCACTGGCAGCTGGACATCGCGTGTTAGATAATGGGCCAGATCGTTGCGCAGCAGGATGAGATCACGTTGTTCGTTGCGACCCTCGTGCACCTCGCGCAGGATGCCTTCGCGCAAGTAGAGCAACAGGCCGCTGCGCGTCTCCTGACCCAGAGCCGAGTGCATTAGTTGATAGAGCAGCAGCTGACCCTTGTGCTCCATCGAGAAGCTGGCGCGTCCAGTTTTCAACTCCAAGGGAATCGGCAGCTTTCTGTTGCGCACATGCACAGAGACATCGACCTTGCCCTTGAGTCCCAGCTGCGGCACCCATAGATTTTCTTCAATATCGTGTATTTGGTCAATCCGACCCTTGTACATTTCCGCCGGCTGCACAGACGGCAGCTTGCCGTCCACATATTGCGCCACAAAGTCAACGATGGGTCCCACAAATTTATATAGCTGCAGCTCGATCTCCGCGCGATTCAGCTGCCCGGCATAGAGCTGCTGGGCCAGAGGTACACTATGCAGCATTTGCTGCAGTGCATTCTCCACTTGTGACTTCTGACGCAAACGCTGCGACAAAACTGTCTGCAGCAGCTCGTGCACCAATGTGCCAACGATCATCTAGAAGATGTGATTAACATTTAAAGCTGATCTGATTTGAATACCGCATCACTCACCACCGCATTAGTTGAGTCAACGCCACGGAAACGATCCTGCAGCACGGCCTTGCGGCGGCAGAACAGCGAGCCCGTCACTGAAGTGCTTGAGATGAGCAGATCTGGATGTATTACACAATAGCCCTGCTCCTTGTTGACCACATAGGCAGCCAGTGTGGGCTGCCATTGTGCCTTAAGCGACAGCAGATCGCCCTGTGCTAGTGGCGTTTGGTTCCATGGCGCCTGCAAATGGCAAACAGCCTTTGCATCCGCATCTTCATCGCTGCGCAACTGCAGCACCAAATCATGTGTCCTGGGCAGCCGCTCCAGCTGCAGCACCACGCAGCGTTGCCAACTGCTCAGATCAATGCTCTTTGCGGTTATGGCCGCATCCAATTCACTCACATCGAAATCGTCATCGTCGTACAGCAAAAAGTCATAGTTCTCCTGCTCGGTTGGTAGTGGCGGCGCTTGCACGTCGAGATCAAGTTGCTTTTTGTACTTCTTGCTTGGCGCCGGCACATTGTCAGCCTTACTGGGCGACAGCACTCGTTTTGCTGCCTGCATATCAGTTTTTAGGGTGATTTAATTGGTGTTTTTGAATAAATCCTTGCACTTCATTCTTTTCCCGCACATTCCATTTCAGTCGCGCCAAAATTTACAAACCAGTGTTTACACACGCGTAAATCTCATGCACATATGTTCGACGACATATCGAACCAGCACAAGTTCAACTGAAGGAGCGAAGTGAACTAAGCAAGAGTCGGTGACTGGTTCGATCGATGTTCGCTCTCTATATTGTTCTTTTGAACTCGATCATCTGCTCGATAGTTGTTGACTCTGTTCATTTGAGCTCGATCACGGTTTATTTTTGGCGGTCTTTTTTAAAAACCAAAATTAATATGCTTAAATTTGTGTGAGATTATTTATTAACGATTAGGTTAATTACATTACAATATAAAGTATTAAATTTAAACTTTAATACAGATTTAAATTTTTAAACTCTTTAGAAACTATGAATTTACCACACCTTAACTAAAGAGTCAAAACCAACTGAAACGTAAATTCTCTTATACTTATTCACACTATTCAGCATTTATAACCCTAATGACCGACACACACAATATTCTCTCATTAAACTGGCAGCTAATTGGCTAAGAGGATAACGAAAATAACACGACCATGAGATAAAATGGACCACAAAACGAGCATCTTTACTTGGTCCCAGACGGAGATTTCAGCGCCGTCACTTGCCGAGCAAGTGGAGCGCAAAAACTCGAAATCCGTAACTGCTTGTGGCTGTCAACTAAATTTCATATGCAAATCCTTGGCTCTGACTATCGCTACCTGATAATCTACTTGATTTATGCGGCTGCACACAGCCAGCCACGCCGAGACTAGCTACAAGAGGCAGGGGCAGAGCCCATGGGCCCATGGAGCCGCCACATGCGCAGCGCTAATAATGCCCAGTGCCTGTGGCATGCCGGGCACATCATTAATCTCGGCCCATGCGGGACATGCCCGACGCACCCGCCGCGCCCGTCATCCCTCCTGTTGTCCGCCTGCCAGATGGCACTTGGCTGTCCACTGTGGCCACGGTGCCACGGTGCCACGATGCCACAGTGCCACGTGGCTGACCTTCAGCATAATAATTCAATGTTAGTGCCTGCTAGCCGGGCTTTGTGTGGAGCTTGGCCCAAAAAGACACGTGCTAATTGCTAATCAGTATAGATAAGGCAACGCCCTTGCCAACCATTAAACGATGATGCGAAGCGAAAGGCATTTTATTTTTATGACCAGTCAGTCAGTCGGACAGCTGGGGATTGACGGAAAGAGATGGGAATAGTATGCGAGAGAGAATCTTTAAAGCATCCACCCCATCTGTATCCCCTTCCATATGCTTGCATTGCTTATTGCGTTCAACTGTTATTGTCGCTGCTGAGTGTTTTCATAATGGAAAGCACAGATTTTTCTCTCCCCCTTGGTTTGGCAGCTGACAAATGATCTCTGCTTATGGAAATAACTCAAATTGTTTGTGTGTGCAGCTTCTGCTTTCTCCTCTCTCCAACAAGCACTCTATGCTCGTGTGTGTTATAGTTATAACCACTTGACTTTTGTCGAGGGGCACTTTTTGGCTGTTGTTGGTTTTCATTCTCTCTCTCTCTCTCTCTCGCTCTTTCCCTTTTTTTCAGTTTCATTTCTTTTCACATGTCAACAAAGCCATCAACACATTTCACACGCGCTCCTTTGTTTAAATGTCACATTACATAATGACACTTAACACATGGACGAAAAAAAGAGGGTGTGTGTGTGTGCGTGTGGGCTGGCCACGCCCCAAATACCATTTTATATGGCTGACTAACAAAAGGCAAACATTTGCCAGGCTGGCTGTCTTCGTTGTCGCCACTTAAATGCCAAATTAAGTGTAATTTTTATTGTGTTTACAGCGCCACAACAACAACAGCAGCAACAACAACAAGAGCAGCAACAACAACAGCAGCAGCATCAGCAGCAACAACAACAACAGCGAATTTAACACTTGACAAATTTGATTTTTCCTGACTGACTTCTGCTTCCTATTCCGCTGTTCCGTTCCTGCCGCTCATTCCGTCTACAGCTATCTCTCTCCGTCCCTCTCCCTCACTTTCTTTGGCTGGCTCATCTCTTGGCTGTCATTAGTGTTGGTTGTCGTTGCCTTGAAATTGTTTATGTAATTGTTATGCACATGTGCGAGAGACTGAGAGAGACAGAGTGGAAGTGGAAGAGAGACTAAAAGACAGCCAGTAAAGCAGTGTGTGTGAGTGCCTGCCAGAGCCAACTCGTTTGCCTGCCATTTAATGGCTGCCAGTTATGAAGGATGTACTAAAAATGCCAGCAGACACGAATGTCAAACATTTCACAAAATTGAATCAAAGCGTTTTTACGAGCTTACTTTATATATTTTATTTTATGTATTTACTTTTTATTTATTTATTTTATTTATTTATTTATTTTATTTTTTTTTTTTTGTATAAGGAAGCAACATTTTTAAATATGCCAAATAAACTTTTGGCTAATTGACTAGACTCTCTAGGAGTTTAGCCCACATTTTGTTAGCCAAATGGGAAGTAGGTAAGAGAAAAGTTTACCACATTAAAAGGCCAACGCGTACGAACAAGACAGCGCTGATTAGTACGTAAATTTTAGCTGAGAACTTTGGGAAAGTTATTTTTAAAGGAATAAATATTTGAACAGTTTTTAATTCTTATGCGCACCATATAAAGTAATAAAATGCAGTAAGATGTATTTATATATACATATATGCTAACGACTATATAAACCTCAAATTAATTCGTTCCTCATTTTAAATTCTCTTCAGTTTATTGGATTGCGAAATAACGTAACAAATGCAATTAACTAAATACATATACATTTATTCTTGAGTGTTCAGTTCTCAGTCTACAAGTAACACTAATATGAGCTGGAACTGGATTATTCTTATTTTTTTTCATGGAACACTGGCTGCAAAATCCAAAAAATTGATAACTCGATCTAATTTGGTGTGTATATAAATGATGTGAAATTAATGCGATCTCATAATATAATCTCACTTTGTAGTATTTAATATATGAGAAATATATCCTAGCAAAAATGGATGCAGTTATAGGAAATCAATTCGGGCACTATGAAAATAACACTGAGTATTCAGATTTCTACAGAGAGTTAATTGTAGTTCGGCAATCGGAAAAGCCAATTTCAGAGAAGGAATCCGAAATTAACAAATTTGAAAGATATAACAAACGACGATTGGATCTGGAGGAACAGATGGAAAGCCGTGTGAGCTATATAAATAATGAAATGCTATCAGTTCCTCGTGGACATCATTGCATGAAGTTTTACTTGCACCAAAAGGTGGCACTCGAAACAGCATATACAAAGAAAAACGAATATAAGCAATATGTTGTACATAAAAATAAAAACAGGTGCCCATTTAAATACAACTCCAGTGACAACAATGAAGAAATCTACAGTTATAACAAAAAAAAATTCATCATAGAACAAATTGATGCACAAATGCGTTCTGAAATCGGACACTATAAAAACAACAGAGAATATTACGAATACTTCAGCGATTTAATCATAGAAAAGGAAACTGGGTTGTCAATTTCACGGCAGGTATACGCTATTAAAAAGTTTCAAAAATATAACAGACAACGATTAGATCTGGAGGAACAAATGGAAGATCGTGTGAGTGATATCAAATTTGAAATCGAATCACTTCCAAAAACGCATAAATGTATGAGGTTTTATTTGAAACAAGTGTTGATACTCGAAAGATCATATACGAAGAAAAATGTTGCTAAAGAAGAGGTTTTAAAAGAAAATAGCATACCTTGCCCTTTTTTATCGAATTCAAACAACCAAGATCAAAACAGTGAAAACAACCACAATGCCACAGCAACATTAAGGCGATTCCGACTATAGTGACTATGTGATCATACTTCATTAATTTTGAAATTTTTCAATTTTTGCAAATATTTATTAAGCTCTTCTATTCACATGTAACTAAACACATTGGGTTTATTTCAATTAATTGTAATTAATTAATTAGTTAAATTTATAAATATTTAAAAAAATTTTATTTTTGGTATGCAATTTACTTTACTTATTTTCGTGTATATATTTTATATATTGCATAGCTCTCATTATTCATTAGTCACATACATTCATCAAAGTCACATAACTAATTCAATAGGAATATTAAAAAAAAAAAAAAAAAAAAAAAACGGTCAATTCTCATTGAAATGCTACCAACCAAACTCACTCAATATTAACGCACACTCCGACACAGACACACACACACACACACACACACACGAGAATGTCAGTTTTTGTTGCCTATTTAGCGGCGCAAATATTTGGCTTGTCAGACCAAAATAATGCACACACACTCACCCACTCACACATACACACACACACACACTCACCCACTCACACAACATTCACGCATATTTTAAATGCCTTGCATGAATTTAACTTAACCCCAGCATATCACTTGACTGTGCCCAAGCCCAGCCCATGGCCCCGCCCACCCACTCATTTAGGTCCGCCTTCGTGTTCGCCAACACATTTGCTCATTAGCATTATTGCCTGGCTCCACAGTTTCATTTGTTTGTCTCTGACGTTTTCTTTCTGGCCCCCACGACACTGAGAATTTCATTAACGTTATTAATATTTTCATTGTTGAGCGTTTTGCATGCCTTACAGATGCTGCTCCTGCTGATGCTCCTGCGGATGCTCCTGCTGAGGCTCCTGCTACTCCTCCTGCGGCTACTGCTGCCACTGCCACAGATATACATATAATAACTTGATTATGATGTTTGCTGACTTGTGCCTCATAATTTTTGTATTATTATTATTATTTTGTTTTCGTATGTCAGATTTTTGTTTTTTCTTTTTGTCTTTTTGTTTTACATTTTTCATGGCTTAATAATTGCTCATTTCAGCTGTAGCTGGCTTTTGTTTGCTCTGCGCATTGTTGTTAACAATTATGAGGCCACTTAAATAAATTTTATTGCTGCCAGGCATTGTCCTGTCCGCCTGCTAACAAATTGACAATTATTTCGCCGCCTGCCCGGGACCCAAATGACAAACGAGCCACAGCCCGAAAGTTTTCGTGCCATTTATTAGCTTTTGAAAGTTTTACGGGTGTGATTTTGATTTAGCTCCAGGCCGAACAGCAATAACAACAACAACACTCCTTGCCGGGCTAATGAAGTTTTCAAATGGCCAAAAGAGAGTTTGAATTGAGTCAAGTTTTGTGCCAAACAATTGACCGAGGTGAACGGGCCCAAAACTTGGCAGCTGAGTTATAAATGGTATATTTATCTTCAGTTACGTTTTTAATAGTGCACATTCACAGACCAAAGTTAGAGCTGATAATTTTAATTACTGCAATAAGGCAAACTAATGAATCTCAAATTAACCTCAAGCACTCATAAATATAATCGACTGGCCATTTCGTTTTCCACCTGTGGGTCATTAAATTATCAAACTAGAGAGCAGCTAGCCAGCTAAGGATAACTATTTAGGCCAGTGGTTAGCACTGTGCTATGAATTGTGTAATGTGCGCTTATTATATTTTAGTAAAAAGATTGTTGAGGATAGTGCATATGCATTACTTCTTAATTAACGTTTTGTATAGGTGAGCAGCTTTAAATAAGCCCGGCGTTTAAATATTTAAAACTCAATTATATTATTTATTATATATTTAAGGGTAAGGGGGTGGATATAGGTGTGGGGGGGAGGGTGAATTATAATAAAAACCGAAATTTTATAATGTATGTATAAATCCACAAAGATGTAGTTAAGACAGCTGCATGACAAAAGCTGAATGCTACGAGACCCGATGTGGAAATATTGATCATAATTTGGTCTTTCAGGGAAACAGCATAGCCCCATGAATGATTAAGAAACTGTGCTCAACTTTTCTAGTGAATGTTACAACAAAAACAAAACTTGAAACTTGAGTTAGGGCAGCTGCATGACAAAAGCTGAATGCTACAAGACTCGATGTAAGGTACATCAATGCCAAAGACTGAATAATATGAAGTTTGTGGAAAAATTTATCCTCATCGCTCACGAAATAGAAAACATAATCACATCACAGACATATAAATGCTTATAATTAAGGTCTTCTAGCGAATTTGTGGCAGGAGCTAAATTCTATTAGACTGCATGACAGGAGCTGAATGATACGACACTCGACGGATAGTATATTTATAAAACTTTCAGATCGGGATTATAACATTGAAATAACAGGATGAGATATAGATTTTTTGAGAAAAACTTGATATCCGCGATGTATACACGGACATTTGAAAAAAAAAATTTGAGGTCACTAGCTCTTATATCTTCTGAGATCGACACGTTCAAACAGGCGGACGGACGGACGGAGCTAAGTCGATCAGATCAAGAATATATATACTTTGTGGGGTCAGCTACCCCTTCTTCTGCGCGTTACATAAAATTCAAGAAAACCATTATATCCTGATTTCCCATTTTCAATGGGTGCAGGGTATAAAAATGATTTGGAGTTTTCCTTCTATGAGATTCTCATGAATTCGTTTGACATTTAAAAATCCCTACGAATTACTTATTCTTTGGTATAGCAAGACCAACAGAAGCAACAACGAATTGGGTGCTTATATACTAGGCTTAGCCATGAGCTTAGATTTTGTTGTATAAATAATTTGAGATGTTTTTCATAATTTTATACATTATTTAATTATACAAAATTGAAAATTTATACATTATTAAAAGGTATATAGCATCTTCTTCTTATAAATTCATATTTATTATTATTATTATTTTGTTTTTATAAATTATATTGAAATTTAATAATACATTTTAAAATTTTTTCGGGCTATCATAAAAAAGCATTATATTATTAAAAAATCATCTTGAAACAGTCTCTTGTTTAATATTGTTTTTGTTTTAAATATGTTTTATGTAAATTTTTAAATTGTTCAGGCCAACCTAAATACTCCCAAATGGTAATTTATAAATATTTATTTTACCATTTACATAATTTATGCAATAAATCATTATAAAGTAATAGAATATGTTTGTAAACACTTAAATAATTGCAATTAACTCATATGCCAGTTGATCAATTGGCAAATTAAGTTAAACTAATTTTAAAATAAAAAAAAAAAAACAAATTAATATTGTGTATACATACATATACATACAAAAAATTTTAAATTATTAAAATTTATACATAAGTATCAATATCTATTCTACTCTATTTTATTCTTTTTTTTCAGTAGTTTATTTCAATCAAATTTCAATTGAGAGAGAGGGAGAGAAAGGGACAGAAAAAGAGACAGAGACAGAGAGAGTCTGCAATTACTTAGTTATCCAATAAGATAGAGGTCAATTCTTTTTGAATTTGAAGATAAGTTCACTGACCATTTCAAACAGTGTTAATTTCCTACTTTAATTAGCGTAATAAATATATGTAATTAATATGACTAATCGCATACATAATCGCAAAGTTGTTAAATAAATTTCCGCTCAGTTCAGCCATGCTTAGCTCCAATTTGGCTCGCATAATTAAGCAGTAGTTTAACAATTTAAGGATTATGCTATCAGAATTTAATTAACGCTCTTAACAAATTCATTTAGTTGGTTCTCTCGCTCGCTAAACGCCAAATAAAATGTCATACGATACATGGGAATAGTATGCGACTCTCAATGATTACTCTGGTTTGGCAATAATTGCAGTACAATTAAATAAATATTTCAACTGATTGAACTGGCGGAAGTATTAAGAGGCAGCCGCAACCAAAGCTGTCAATCAGAATGCAATTATGTAATCAAAATAAATATGAATATGGCAGAGCAGCAGAAATGACGGCTGAATACTCATCCACAGTGACATTTAATTAAAGGTTACTATTTTTTATTTACAAATAAATAAATCCAGCTCTTTAGCTGTAGGTAATTTTGACTAACCATGAACTTCATATTATATTATATTTATCTTTATTAATGTATCTTTAAATTTATTAAATTTTGATTTATTAACTAATATTTTTGTGTGCTATGCAATGGGTGGCACTCTATAAATATCTATATAAACCTGATATTCAATTTACTTTCAAGTCTGAATTTTAGTCTGTTTACTCAAGTAATTTAGCTCATCAACTTTTTCTACGTCTGATATATTATAAAATATAAAATTTACTAAAAGTTACTTGAAAAATTCCCTCAAAAAAAAGTTGATTCCTATTTATCAACTAGACCTGCTTTTCAAATGCGAATAGACTTTAGGTTTCTCTATCTAGGATCTCAAAAGAATTCCACCTACAAAGCTTATTATTAAGATAATAATCAAAGTTGAGTACAAGGACGACGACGAGTTCACCAAATATCAAATTTCTAGCTTCAATATGAAAGAGATGAACATACGAAAAACCAATATACTCGCCCACTTGATGAGCGCGTGTAAATGTAATTATTATATCAAATCTTTCCACTCACCATTGTTGACCGTAGAGCCGCCGCCCACGCTGTTGACATTGCCATCGCTGCTCAACGCCAGGGTTGTCAACGTCTCCAAGATGAGCAGAGTTGCAAGTAGGGCGAAGAGTTTATGCAACATTTTGTTAAGATATTGAAATAGTTTCTTTATTTAAATATGATTTAGTATTAACTATAGTTAATTATTCACTTAAATTATAATTGAAATTCTTTAAATTATTACACTTTTTAGCACATTTTATTTCGTAATTTGATTAATTGAAATTGTTAAAGCATTGTTCATTTTATGCTTGGATTTATTTAAATATTGTGAATTTAATTAATTTAACTTTTTTCTTGTTTTATGTATTTTTTATTTATTTTTTTCCCTTTTGTGTGCTGCAAATAGAGAGAAAACAGAAATTATGAAATGTCATGGCATATTTTATCGATGGCTCACATAAATTTGTTATGAAATTAAAGGACACGCTCCAATTTGTTTATATTTAATACAGCGTCTAAAAGCCGACTTTCCTGATTTATATGCCACAGTTAAACCCGGGCCTGAGCGGTATAAAAAAAAACAAGCAGTGCAAATTCTTGATTGAATTTCGCCTGACGTAAGCGGATTAAAGCGAAATTCTATGAAGAAAAAAAAAAAAAAAAAAACAAGAAATGATAATAATAAAGCAAATCATAAAACAAAAATAGCGGTCAAGTCATAAAAACGCAACAGACAAATGAAAAGCTACGAAACCCATAGCCAAGGCAATGAGCAGCACATAAAAGGACAGCAGAATGGCTAGAGTGGAGAGCGCTTTAGAGCCGAAGATTGGCCTTTGAACCAGACGATGTCTGCTGGATTAATTCCCAGCTACTTCCGTCGACACGTAGCCAAGGGCCAATGGGCAATGGGCAATGGCCAATGGACGGCGCTTCAATTACGATAATAACTAAGCTATGGACGCAACACGTGCCCAGATTTTAAAGTTTAGCTTAAAAGCAAATTCCAATTAACATGTATTAATTATATATTTATTTTGCAATTACATTTGATCTTTGGAACATGTTTTCTCCTATTCAATTGACTATTTCCGTTCACTGTTTAATGTTTATATTGTCTGCTTTCTACCAAATCAAGTTGTTGCTTTATAAACTACAGATAAACGTAGCACCGTCTGTCTAATATATGCATGAACTTCATGCAGCCACCTCTGGCCAATAACTTGGCCAGTTGTCCGGCACTTGGACAGTCTCTCACTCTTTTGCAATTCAGCCAGTGCCATGACCATCATCATCAGCATCAGCATGAGCATCATCATCATCATTAAATCTCTCGTCTCGGGGCATCATCGTTTGCTTTGCTTTGCTTTTGCATGTTAAAGGAGGAGAAGGCGCTATAGACACATTGCCCTTACACACTCTCACATATACCCTGTATCCAATATTTTGAGTGTAAATATGTTGATGAATGTGAAAGTAGAAAAGTAAGTAACTATTAGAAATATATATTATACATATGAGATTGAAAGGAGTATTGTTGGACAGAGTGAAGCTCGGCTAAAAACTAAAATTAAATTAAATATCAAAGATCAAAATAATTTAATTTATATACTCATATACATATACATATATGTATATATTTTCTTGTATATTTCCCCAGAAACTTTGATGAATATTTTCTTTCTCTCAGAAAATATGACAAATTAAATATTTTTATTTTTATTTATAATACAATTTATTTTATATATTGTTGTTTACATAAATATTTAAGCATAATTTGAGAAAAAATGCTTGATAAACAAACATGGCCGTATTAATTTAATTTTTTTTTTTAAATACTTCGTGACTATAACAACAAACACACAAAAATAGAAGAAATTCCGAATATTTTTGTACTACAGAATAAAATGTACAGAAGTGTTGTATATCTTTATTATATTATATATATATATATTTTTTTTTTTTGCATAAAAAAAATTTTAAGACATATGTGGTACAATTTTTTAAATTTATCATGATTCTTAAAAAAAAAAGTATATGTATATATGTATAAAAATAATAAAATGCCGCCTATTTATTTACTAAAAATAAACTTCTGTTAAAAAAAAAAAAAAAAAAAAAAAAAAAAAACTAAAAAAAAGAGCTTTTTGTAAATTCCATTTGCATACTAAATATATCTAAACTTGTAACAAATAGTTCAAGCGAGGAAATTAATATATAAGAGGAAAATTAAAAAAAAAAGTTATATTTAATTAAATTTTAATTAATTTTAGCTTTGAATTTACATTATTAAAAGAATGAACTATCATTAAGGGTAAGTCATCTCGCTTATATATGCCTATTCCAACAAAATTATAGATGTGGATTTATAGAGATAAGAGGTATATGCCCAACTCAAGTAACTCTCCCGTGCCAGCTGGCTATCTATTTGACATTTTCTTCTGTCTGTTCGTGTCATAAGCGCAAAGCAATTTGCTTCGCCAGCTGTAGCTCGCGCTCTGCACAGCTTCAGCACGATACAGGACTCGAGGACTCTAGTCAACTATTTTGCCATTCAAGTCTTTGCCCTATTGCAATATGAATGCATTTCAATTAAAATGCTGACGATGCTTTCTTAATAGCAGCTGTTGTGTGGTTTATGCGCAGCGTTTCTCGTGTTTTTGTTTGTCTTTGCTCTGTCTGTGTTATTGAAATCAATTTGCAAACTTAATTGAATTTCGGTTTTTGGCTTTAACTTACAACTTTTCAACGTTTACTTGTAATTTGCCTAAAAGTAAGCTGCATGAACAGAAAAAGAGAAAGAGAGAGAGAGCAGAGTCGAGTTGCTTACATGTTTGACATGTGTATTAGCCGCCGGATGGGGGACACACTATGTGCCCAGAGTCAGCCTGGGCGCTATGCATATTTTAAAATGTTTGTTCACGGCCCAGCGATTTGGTTGAAGGCAGCGCCACGCCCACACCCATGCATGGCAGGGCCGGCAAGCAGCAGGCTTTTTGTATTATTGCCAAAAGTTATTACGCCGTGGCATTCCATGAATTTCGCTTTGTGTTGCATACCTTGCGGCTGGCTGAAAGTTGTACTAGTTTATATATTTTTTTTTTGTCATATATATATATAAATTTATATATATGGTTGAAGAACTTTAAGCGCGTGATTTTTGCAATTTGGCTAATAGCGAAAAGTCAACGTTGCGCTGTCGGCTTTGAATGCTCGCTGACAGTGAGTAATGGAAGAAAGAGAGAGGCAAACAATGCAACGAGCATAATGGGCACAGTATTTATCCTTTTCCGCTCTTCTCCTCTCTCTCTCACTCTCTCTCTCGCTCCCTACCATTTTGTCTCGCTTTCCTGCTGAGCGCATTTAAATCAATATTAATAGCAATGTTTACGCCCCCGCAGACTGGCCAAGAATGCAACTGCCACACGCGGCAACTTCAATTGAAGATTTACCTACTTTTTCTCACAGTTTTCTTCTTTTTCTCCTTTTTCTCTCTCGTATTGTATTTTGCGTAGTGTATTCTCTTGGCTGGCCAGCCAGCAAGCCCCGACAGGCGGTGCGTGTGCAGGACTCGCCTCCTGCCAAGCTCTGCATTCAGTCGCTTGTGCATAATAAATCAATTTACATTTTCTCTCGCCACACGCAAAAATGAAATGCAAATCATGGCAACAAACCATGAACGATGCAGCATATAGTAGTCTATAGCATGAACACCAAGAACAGGCCGAGGCTGGATGCCATGGGCAGAGAAGCAGAAATACAGAGTGATACAGAGAGAGAGAGAGTGAGATGGGTAGACAGAGAGCGCGCGGCACATGGGCTAAGGAGCTGGCAACACTTTTCACCGCAGAGATTTACGCGCACTTAAATCACAGCCACCAGAATTGATCGCCATCAATGTACATAAGCATTAAAAATAAAACATGCTCCAATTGAGGAATGATAGCTGCTCGACTAGGCTATACCCTATAGTCAGAGAGGAATTGGATGATATGAATGAAATGTTGAGATATAAATGAAAATATGTTTTAGACTACGTCTCAATATTGAAATAAGGTTTATTCAATTTAATTTATTTATTTTATTTTATTTAATTTTAGACACTATTCTTTTTCTTATTTATTTATACATATAAGAATTAAATGAAGCTGTATCAAAATAAACCATTAAAACTCAGAAGAAATATATGATATTTTCATATGTGTTGAGTTTAAAATTTTGGACTGTTTCCCATGGTCTATGAAGAACTCCTTAACTTCCCAAGCACATATAGCCTATCACGCTTTCTCATTCATTCATTCTCAGTTTATATATCACTCTCACACACACTCTCTCTCTCTCTCTCTCTCTTTCTCTTTCTCTTTCACTTTCTCTCTCTTTCTTTGTCTTTCTCTCTCCACCAAATCTCTCTCTCTCTCTCCCTTTTTTTCTCTTACTTTATACATTCTTTCTTTCCACCCATCTCTTCATACGGCTTATACCCCATGATACAAAATATTTTACTTACAGGGTATTACCGGCTACAGCTTTGAACAGGAAACTGCGGCGGTAGCCGCCGGAGCCGCCGGCAGTCGAACATTTCAGTAAAAGTCGAAGAGTTTGCACTTAATGTGACACTTAATGAGCATAAAATATGTTAAATACCAACAGTTGTTGTTATTGTCCTGCTCAAAGGACAACTCCAGATGTGAATTTTATGTAAAATTGTTGATGTGCACCAACAGTTGGTCGCTCAGATCATGTCTTAATCATGTTGTTGTTTTACAGTAATGTAAATAGCAAATGCTTAAAGTTCAACTGAATTTTATAGAATAAAAAAAATACTCGGTATTCTTTTGACTCTAGCTCATGAATATATATTCTAGTATTTTTTTAAGTATTTATTTATTGAATGCAGCATAGATTTATGGATCTTCACAGAAAGTAATCTAGAAAACAATTTGAATCTAATATTAATATATTAAAACTTGATTAAGTTGACTCTAAATTACTTAACAAAAAATTTTTTCAAATAATATTTCAGAACCAATTTTGAAAATAGACTCATAAATAGACTATAAAATCAGGCAATTGCTTAGCTTTTAGAGTATTGAATAAAGGTAAAAGTAGTATTTGTAAAAAATATGCCTCTTTCTAAAGAATACCTCTTCCAAATAGACAATAGATGCACAATAGGAACTGTAAATATATGGGTAGAGTTCAATAGAGCACAAAACAATAAAAAATAATAAACCATTAACTATCCATTCGGTTATTTATAGT